TTCTGGAAGAGGTACTTGAGGGAGTTGTATCTAGAATCAGGCAGATAGGCTCTACTATTGGGGGTAGTTTCAGTCCCCTGATATGAAGATGTTATCAACTGTCTTTTCCTGGAATCCAAGGTGATTGAAAGGTGACTGCAAAAGAATGGCTTAGAGCAATGATAGATACAAAATGAGGGATGATGCCATACTTTCGTCCAGCTTTTAGTTAATTCTTGGGCCTGAGTAAAGAGTCCATGCTTTTCAACAAAAGCAGTGTGAACACCTCTTACAGTTTCACCTCTCAGCTCAGTCCTTCCAGCTAAGGCCTCCCTTGGTGGTATGCTCACTTTTTTCTATGAGCTGCTTCTCAGAGCTTCTCCTGCAGCACACACCTCAGGCTGTAAGCAAGTGACACCTATACCCTCTGGGTCTGGATTTGGTGGCTACTGTGCTTCAATGAAGGCCCAGGGCTATCGAACTGTGCTTGTCCAGAAGATGGAATCAGAGACACAGTGAGTTATAGTCAGGCCCAAGTAAAATATTTTCTCCTGAAATATGGAAATGAGTGATTTGAAACTGAGGTAAACCAAAGTTGTGATTTCCTTGGGTCTTGCTTTTATGTTCAGAAAACTAAGCACAGGAAGGAGAGAGAAAAAAAGACAGATGCCTGATAGGAAAACAGATTTCACAGAAGGTGCACATGGAGTAGAGGCAAGGTGTTTCTAGAGGGCTCTTTTCATCCCTTCTGAGAAATTTTATCAGGTTGCAATCAATAGAGGAGCTTGTTGTGCTGGAAGTGACCCTAGCTGGATCTGCTTCATTTGAATATTGCTTACATTTCCCCCTTCCTATCTTTTCCTGTAAAATTATCATGCCCATCTAGGTCAAGGTAATAGAAAGATTCATTTCCTTAGTTTCATTCTGTGAAGTCACATGGGAAAGAATAAAATGGAATTAAAGCCAAAGATTAGGCTCTGGTCCTATCAACCTCAACTTCCTGCCCAGCCTACTCTTCTTGAGATGGGAGCTGAAGGGGACAACTATCCCCCACCCAGCAAATATTAACCATTGGAACTCCTCCATGAAAACTTGAACAGGAGGAATTAAGAATAAGGAAAATGTCACATTTGTATTTGGAGCACTTTAAACACATAAAGGAATGCAATATTAATGATGTACTATGGTTATGTGTGAAGTGACAGCTAGTCACACTGTAGGTTTCATTTCAGTCCTTTTTTTTTTTTTGTCTTTTTTGTTTTCTTTTTTTTTCTATTTTTCCTTTCTTTTTTTTTTTTTTTTCCGGTGCTGGGGACCAAATTCAGGGCCTTGCATTTGGCAGGCAAGTGCTCTTCCACTGAGCTAAATCCCCAATCCCTCATTTCAGTCCTTTCTAACCTTGAGAAACCTGTTTCTAAAGCCCAGACATGAGAGCTGGTCATCAGATCCCATGTAACAACAAGCACACAGCCATGCTGTCAGGAACTTATGCCTCTAGAGAACGAAGCTGGTTCTCAAAACACATCAGGAAGTTTTAATGAGTCTTCATAAAACTATGAAGTAGGACATCTTTTATCTGCTTTCATGTAATAGGAAAAACTATGTAGAACCAGGTTGACTTCAACCTTACTTGGTAGCTCTGACTGGACTATAACTTTCCATCTTCCTGTCTCAGCTTTCTGAGTGCAGGAATTATAGGTGTGTGCCACCATCCCCAGATTAAGAAAATATTTATTTCATATGTTTAAGGTCAAAGAGAAATAGTGCCAGAGAAATAGCAACTGAGCTTGATGTCAAACCAAATCCTGTTAGTTCGACATGGAAGGAGATGATGGAAGGTGGACACGGCAGTATAGTAGATAATTTCACAGCAATGATATTACAGTTCAGGAGACAAAGAAGCTAAAAGTGTATCTTTTTCCTTTTCTTGCAGTGGGAAGGCATCAGACAATGAAGTGGGACAAGGATGAGTTAGCATAGGACAAAAAGGAAAAAATATGGATTCAAGTCTAGATTTTAGGCTAAAAGGCAGGTGGAGAGAAACTGAGGCTGGATATAGACGTCATACATTTGAAGGAGTGGAATAGGACCATCAGTCAGAAACAGGTCTAGGAAGAGTGGTCAAAGAGGTGTGGTTAGCCTAGGGGCCAAAATGCAGTGGGGTGTGTGGACATGGTGCACAAGATCATCCAGACCATAATGCCCAGTGACCAGAATGGACGGTGTCAGGACAAAACATAATTTGAGAAAGACTTAGACCCAACATTCTGTCACTGGTGTAGCCTTGCTCTATCTACCATAAAGACTGTTATTTTTTTCATAGAAATATTTGCTGACTTTCTTGGGGGTTATGGTGGAGTTATAATGTTCAGTTTGGAGGAGCTTACATATTTTAGAAAAGATTTTATCTTTAGCATACAAGCTACCAGGTTACCCCTTTTTCTAACGTGGTTTGGTTTTTCCAGCACCAACTCAGTCTTTTTACTTGGGTCTGTATGTTGATGTTCTGATCCTCTGCCTCTGGTCTGTCTTCTCTTCATCCAAACCTTTGTTTCCAGAGTTGACCATGAAGCCATTTTAGACTGCTGCAGGCTTCACCCCAGATATCTGCCAGCACTGACTGATCTGCTTTTGGGTGCGTGTTTTTCCTTCCCCTTGTATCCTTGGAACTTCTGTGTTGAATTGCTTCTCTTCTGACTAGCTGTCTCTTATCTTTAACACCAGTATTGCCAGAGTCTTTAGACCCTTAAATGGGTTTCCCTATTCTTCAAACGGAAACCAGGTTAAACCCTCCCTTTGTTTCTTGCCAGTGGATTTGATGTCTGGGAATGTGGGGATGGGAGAAGTGAACATCCTCCCAAACAGTTACTTATTGCACTTTCTTCAGAGCTATTTAACATTTGCAACACCTCCTTATCTTCAGAAAGATTATACAAAGTGGCCTTGTAGCAAAAGTTTCCCACTCCTTTTTGAGCTTAAATAATAACCACTAACAATAAAAATTATAGCTAACCTTCATTAAATATTTATCCAACCTCAGACATTGTTCTGAGCATTTCATCTCCTTCACTTTAACCTTCACAATTATCCTGTGATATTAGCACTATTATTGGACACAATTTAAAGACGAGGAAACACAGGCATAGAGAACTTAAGTCACTTGTCCATAATGTTGAAAAAAAAGACAGTCCCACTTTTGGTCCCTATTTATCATCATGCTTTGTAGTAGCCAAATGGAAATATAAACCTCATCAAGATACTATGACATACTCACTAGAAGGGCTATAATATCAAGTGGTATTTAGCGTACAGAACAACTGGATGCATTGCTTGTGGGAATTTAAAATTCTATCACTGCTTTAGAAAACTGTCTGGCACTTTCTTATAAACATCCATTATCCAATCCATCCATTCTACTTTCAGGTATTTACTCAAGAAAAAAATCTGTGTTCACACAAAACTTGTTTTAAATCTTCATAATGGCCCCATAATATCTATTATCTGACTAACTGATAACAAATGAAATATTCTTTAGTAATAAAAAGGAATAAACTACTCATATATGTAATAGATAACTATCTAAACAGTTATGCTACTCAAGGGATATGAAATTTAAAAAAGTAAAAAATATGTGACTTCATCTATGTGAATTCTGGAAAAGGCATAACTAATGGCAGAAAGCAGATGAGTGGTTGCAGAGTTGGGATCAGGAGAAGGAAGGCAAAAAGGAGGTGTTTTGATTTTTGACTGCAGTGATGGATGTATAGTTTTACAATTTAACAAAACCCATTGAATTGTAGATTTAAAATTGATGAATTTTATTACATATAAATTTACTAAATTTTAAATTTAGTAAATCTGTTTTTAAGAAGAAAAATGCAAAACTTTCTGGTCCTAGAGATACAATCAACATGCTCTCTGGCTCTGGGCAAATAAATCACTTAGTATTTGTAGCAATGATTTCTAACATGAGAATGGGAAGAAAGGTCTTATCCAAAATGTGGGATAGCTGCAGGACAAATTAAGATAATGAAAAATAAATGAGAACAACCACTTTTTGGAATAGGTCATTGAGGTCTTTTAGTTATGAGGAGGCTCTGCCCAAGATAAAGCAGACCATTAGTAGCCATCACACGTGACACCTAGAACACCTAGAAAAGTGACCACCCCACTCCAATTCATGCTCTCCATTTTATGATACATTTATGGTAACTCACAAGTTGATCAAATAATGATATCTATCACATGGAGCAAAATGAGAAGAGGTAAAGAGTTGACTTGGGTGTAAACTTCTGTGCTGTGGACCTTCGGTATGTGTTAACTCATGTTAACCTCTTTCATCCCTAAAATCAGGAAATAGTGATAAAAGAGATAAAACAAAGAACCTAGTGCAATGGCTTTCAAGGAAGTTCTTTAGGATAAATAATGACAGTCAATTACTAATCAGCTAATTTATTATTCTTACTAGACTCATTGAAACAGATAATCCCTGATTAGTTTTTGAATAACTTTTGCTTTATCATTGTCCATAATTTCCTTGATTCATTTTTTCTGGGTCTAGCTTTCTATCTCATTATGATAAACATTGAATATTTTAGGATTAAAGATCTGTGTAGTGTGGGATCAGTAGACCTGGAAGTCACCACTGATTATAATGAGGCACAGATTACTCTTCCTTAGGGCCTAGTGTCTAGAGGGTCAGAGGATGCAGAAATGTCACCCATGTTTAGGAAACTGCTCAGCCACGTTCTAACCTCCAAGAAAATGACTGTATTAATGTATATTCTCGATAGAGGTTTCTCAGAGCTCATTTCTATCTTGACACATGAACGGTCATTTTTGTGTGTTTTGTTTTGTTTTTGAAAGCAATAAGACTTTCCACAAAGTAGGCTCTTTGTAGGTCTGTAGGTCTTCTGATCTTCCTTCCATCCTCTATTTGTTCTCTCCACACAGTTGGTGGCAAGTCCAAGTCCTTCAAATCCTCTTAATCTCTTTCTTACACTGTACATCTAATCCATCAGGACATCTTGTTGGCTCCATTCCTGAATTTATACAGAATCTGTCCACTTCTCAGCACCCCACTGCTCCTGACCTCAGTGTTAGTCATTATCGTCGCTTGCCTGGACAAGTGCAGCAGCCTCCTGACTTGTCCCTTATAACCTTTCCATCCTCTCGCCAGTCTGTTCTTCTACCCACTTCCCAGCGTTATTGAGGTATAATTGACAAAAATTGCATACATTTGAGGTGTATAATGTATACATACGTTAAAACACTAGGTTTATATATATATATATATATATATATATATTATACGGTGAAATAATAATCCCAACCAAACTAATTAATACATCCATTACATCCATCACCTTATAAATGATCACTTTAATTTTTTATGGTGACAATTAAGATCCATCCTCTTAGCAATTTTCAGGTATACAGCACAACATCAAGTACAGTCATAGTGCTGCATTTAGATTTCCATAAATTACTCATCTTGCATGTCTGAAATTCTGTATCCTTTGACCAACATCATTCTATTTCCTCCACCATTCAACCCTAGACCTTGGCAGCCATCACTGTACTCTCTGCTCCTATGAATATGTCTATTTTAGAGTATGCAGAATTTGTCTTTCATTCATGTTGGAGGTGGCAGGATTTCCCTTTTATGTATTCTTTTGGTGAACATTTAAATTGATTTCATATCCTGACTATTGTGAATAAAGGTGCAATGAACATGGGAGTGAAGATATTTCTTTGAGATACTGATCCCATAACATGTTTTGCTCCTGAAGGGCCTCTGAAGAGTAACATTTGGCCAAGGGATATATTCTTTGCTGGCTAATGAACTTCTATTTTGAACCTTTTTGGCTTTTTCTTTTTCTTTTTCTGTCAAACTCATACAGGATTAGTAATACTATCAGTTTATTTTTCACTGCTGTATCAAAATACCATAAACTTGGGTTGTTTTTGAACAGTAGAAATTTATTTCCCATATTCCTGGAGGTTAGGAAATCTAAGTTTAAGGTGCCAGTGTATCAGGTCTCTGATAAGAGGCCTTTTCTAGCTCATTTATGTCTTCTAGCTATGCTTCCATGTATTGGAAGTAATAAGGAAGCTTTCTGGGATCTCCCTTATAAGGCACTAATCCCATTCATAAGGGTTCTGCCTTCATAGTTTGATCTTCTCCTAAAAGGCTTACCAGCTAACACCATCACCTTTGAGGCTAGGATCTCAACATACAAATTTTGTGGGGACACAAACACTCAGATATGCCCTAGAAAAAAATGTGATTTAAAATAAGCTTCATAGTCTTTAACTCTAATTGAAACTCTAATTTTTTATTTTTATGGCTAAAGCAGGCTACAGAATATAATTGTTATGCAAAGTTTTAATATTAGCAAATTTACCAAGAAAAATCCAATTATGAATGAAAGTTGCCATTCATCAAACTGCTCAGGGTTAGTTTATGTTATTGAAGCAAGTTAAATGAAAAGTAAGGAGCTCAGGCAGGAGAGTCAGAAACATTGTTCACTTACAAACATTTAAGCTACATAGTGAGACCCTATCAAAGAAGAAAGAAAGAAAGGAAGGAAGGAAGGAAGGAAGGAAGGAAGGAAGGAAGGAAGGAAAGAAGGAAGGGAAGGAAAGAAGGAAGGGAAGGAAGGAAGGAAGGAAGGAAGGAAAGAAGGAAGGAAGGAAGGAAGGAAGGAAAGAAGGAAGGGAAGGAAAGAAGGAAGGGAAGGAAGGAAGGGAAGAAGGAAGGAAGGAAGGAAGGAAAGAAGGAAGGGAAGGAAAGAAGGAAGGAAGGAAAGAAGGAAGGGAAGGAAGGAAGGAAGGAAAGAAGGAAGGGAAGGAAGGAAGGAAGGAAGGAAATGAGGGAGGAAGGCAGGGAGGAAGGCAGGGAGGGAGAGAAGGAAAGATTGAGGGAGGGAGGAAGGAAAGAAAGAAGGAAGGGCAAGTTGCCTGACAACAGTACTAGTCCAATCTAAGTATTCATCAAGTCTAGCGACTTGCCCTTTTTCTCTCCTAAACTTTTTTTCTCTCCTAAAAGTTTTTTTGAAAAATGAAGTTCTTAATTTCTTCTTTAATCCTTTTTTTTTTTTTTTGGTGTTGGGAATTGAAACTAGGGTCTCATGCATGCTAAGCACATATTCTTACCTTTGCCCAGAAGATCTTAATTTCAATGTAGCCTGATTTATCAGGGTTTTTCTGTAAGGGTCGTATATTTGTTTGGATCACAATCATTAATATTAATTAATATTACTGAAATGATAGTGTAGTTAGCTTTATTAGCTTTATTGTAATCCAACTTCAATTAGGGAGAGGTTCAAGGAATTTATCTTATATAGATATTCAATTTAACCACCACCACTTACTGATGACACTTTAGTGTCATCTTTAAATAACACTGCTGTCATTTTATTATTTATTCATTTTTTATTTTATTTTATTGGTGCATTCTGATGCTCTCTTTACCTGGGAGTTACACTCCTTGCCCTTACTTAATGTTTTAAATAATACTAAGTAAATGAGGTAAAAGCTGAGAAAATGCTCTTTTCTATCATCTATATATTGTTTTATTTAAATATCTGGGATCTATGATAAAAGATTTTTCTAAAATTTTTTTCTTCTAATGCAGACTTACTTTCTTAGACACATTTTAATGATCCTCAAACCAAGGCCACCACAAGATTTGATCATCATCTTGGAGTCTTGCCATGGTCTTGAGAAAGCAGTTTAAATTGCTTTCTGTTTTGCTTTTATTTCTCTTTGAATAATTGTCAGGAAATGAAAGGGAAATGTTTGAGGTCAAACTCCTTTCCCAATGTAAGATATATTTTTGATATTAAAAAAAGCTGGACTTTTATAAAAGGAAAAATAGAAAAACAGACTTGTCATTGAAATGTAGTTAACAAATGTAACAGGAAGATTCTTAAGTTTCTTAGATAATTGAAATATAAACATTTATTTTAAAGAACTGACCTCCAAGTTTCAAGGGAATTGCACACTTCATTAGATATCAAGCTGCACATTGTATAGTAATGGAGTTGAAAAGCCACTGAACTTGGAGCCATGCGTTTGGGTTCCTCTTCATGTGCTGCCACTAAACAGCTGTGCAGTTCTTCTTGATTTTCTTTTTTTGCATACAATTGTATCAGATCAGTGGTTCACAGTCTTTTTTCTTGATATGACAGTGTCACACATGATTTGCTGCACAGTCTATTCCTATATGCATGTCTGGGTCATATCTCTTTTCCTTAGTATCATTTGCAGCTTTACCTCCTACTCAAGGAAGCTTTCCTGACAGAAGAATAAAAAGCTCCCTAATTTATTAAGAATACTTTATAAATTATTACTACTAAAATTTTTATTATGACCACATTAAACTGAGAATATAGAATAGCCTACAAATTCTCATGAATTCTTTTTTCTTTGAATTTTGTTACCAAATGTTCTAGACATTGTGACCAAAGGTGTGTATTTATTTGCTATGATGTTAAACATTAGAGATAATTTATGACTATAAATCATAATGAAATTGATTTACGACTTGTACCAATCTTAGTCATTGAGCCTAATATGCCATCAATTCAAGAGGCACCATTATTTCAAGCACTATGAAGAAAGAACAACTAGCAGGATACTGGTGGCTCACACCTATAATCCTACTTACTCACGAGGCAGAGATCAGGAGATCGCAGTTTGAAACCAGCCTGGGGAAATAGTTCTTCAAGACTCTATCTTGAGAAAAAAAATCATCACAAAAAAAAGGGCTGGTGGAGTGGCTCAAGGTGTAGGCCCTGAGTTTAAACCCAGTGCCACACACACACAAAAAAGAACTAAACATGATGCTTTCAATTAAACCATGAAATACTATCAATTGCAAGATGTCCCAATTTTTAAAATACTAAAATACATAGTTTCTTTGAATCTATGAAATATAATAATCATCAGTTTTCTAAATTATTTGCTTCATGATCTCTAAGGAAAGAACAGGTGTGAGTGTCACAAATGGCTGTGTGTTCTTCTGCACTATGTGAATGGAAATGGTAAATCCACAAGGAGCAACTCCTTAATGATGGCAGTCCTGAACACCAGGGGCTTGTGGGCTGGGCTTTAAAACCCATAGGCTTGTAGCTCTAGGTCTTGAGAATAAAAGACTTATGACCCTAGGTTTTCAAAGTCAAATTCACTACTCCAAATTCTCAAAATCAAAGGCCAATTGCTCTGAGCTTTGAAAAGCAGAAAACCATGGCTCTAATTTTTGAAACTGAGAGGTTTATGGCTCTAGATTTCAAAACCAGAAACTTTTGGTTCTAGATGCCCAAATCAGAGGCTTATTGCCTTAAACTTTGAGTGTTAGCAGCCTGGCACCTAGCAGTTAATATTTTATCTCTGAGGGGCCTTTCGCTCTTAACACTTGGTGGTGCTCACGAATTCTTACAAGGCTGGGGTCTGCTGTTCTTCTCTGCTCGTCACAGTCTCTTATTTTCTGCAGTCTCAACTCTTTGCTGCTTTTCACCACCTCAGCACTTCCATACTTCTCTGCCATTACTCCTCCTGGCCATTTTCTGTAGCTCTTCAGCTGCCTTCTAGTTGCTGAGTGAGCTGAGGACTTAGTGTTCCAGGAATTCCTGGTTGTTCATAGCCTCAGAGGTCACTCTCAGCTGCCTTCTAGCTGTTGTTGCTGGATGCTGGGGCTGGAAGGTCTTTGTCAGCTCAGCCCTTTCTAATTGTGATAAAGACAATTTGGAAGAGCTGGGGTTGTAACTCAGTGGTAGAGAACTTGCCTAGTTTGTGCAAGGCCCTGGGTTTGATCCCCAACAACAAAAAATAAAAAATTTTAAAAATTTTAAAAAAGAATAAAGACAATTTAGGAGAGTTTTTTGGGGGGACAGAGGGGCTATATTTCAATACATGCAAGGATTTAGGTATTATGCAGGGAAACTTCCCATACTGATCTGAAGAGACTAAGAAACAGGATGCTTATACAACCAGAGATAGTGACAGGGAAGGGCAGGCTGTGCACAGCTTCCACTTCCACCAAGCACAAGCTTCACATGAGCACTACCTCCTTTCTGCCAATCATAGGCTTTTTCTTAAGTCATCAAAAGAGTTTTCCATACCCTACAGTCTAGATGGAAGAGTTGAAAGGTGAGCAGAGCCATCAGGAGCCACTGCAAATAGAGTCATGTAGAGGTCTGTGAGGCT